CATTTAACAATATCATTTCTACTGGTGATACTGCATCACATAATAAAAATTCAGAATACTATACGTATAAAAGAACTGTATGACCAACATTTTAAAATGTGTAGATGAACCACTTCTTACAAATGCTTCAGCTTTAAATGAGGTCAAGACACTTGATTATATCACACATGATCTCATACTTCCTCACTATAATCAAACCAATTTCACAAATGAAATAAATTTTAATGCACTGGAAGCTTCTACAAGCTATAGAAATGGACGTGGACACGAACACGAACATGAATGTGGATATATTTATGGACATGGACGTGGAGGATTTGGCAGAAGACATTGAAGTAACTCGTATTCAGTTTTCTATGTAATTCATGATGTAATTCACGGTGTAATATAATTTAATACTTGAAAAATCAGAGGTATTTACTGCATGTTGTGCATAAAAATTTGTATTTAATTATGAATCAAACATTATATTAAAAAATTTTATACTATAGGTGTGAAAAGTAAGAAAGAGTGCGCAAAAAGTTATTAGTAAGGAATATTTTAGTCTGACCGCCAGCGGATAAGTGAATGAAACACTAACATTATGTTAGGAACCTCCTTAATGAGCCAAATTAAGGAGAAGTAATTCATCATCTTAAAGTGCGTGGTTAATCAGGTTAAAATACTTACTATTAGCTGTCAATGAAAAATAACAAAATAGTAGTTATATGGTTATATGTATGACAACCCATTGTAATATATATTGTGTAATGTATAAGTAAAAAAAAATTGTTTAAAATCGTAAGATGATTTATTTAAATATAATTGTGGCTATATAAATTACAAGTGCTTGTGTATTAATATATACTTGACAATTTATAATCCAAAACTATTGTACAATTCATTATAGAATTTAAATATATTGTACAATACTTGTACAAGTATCGTACAATACATTACGTAAAATTTTAGTTGTTAGCAAAGAAATTCATGTGATCGATTTTTTTCTCATAGTGTGTAGACATATATTGTCCTTCGCTTCGCTCCAGACAATAATTGGAATGCTTTAAATTTAGAGAATTATTCATTAAATTAAAAAAACCTAAAAACTCAATGACAGTGTTCCATCTGAAATTTTAAGAGGTATAAATGTTGAAATTAATATACGCTAATTACGCTATGGTGCTTTTCATGTAAAAATGCTTATTAAATATTAGACATCTTAAACCTGCATCGCCTGCATTGTATGCTAGAAATAATTGTCAATTCCTGTTCTGAGATCGGATGAGAAGTAGCAATTAGAAAATTTAAAATATTTCATTAGTATCGTTATGAAGGTTTGAATGGGTTTTAAATTTTAATTTCAGAAATATATATAGAAAGCGTCGACGACAAATTATTCTTTTTCATATTTTAAAAATAACATTTGGATTTTCTAAATTAGCAACTTCAGCTCAATTATTCGTTAACATAACTCCCCAGTTTTCAAGGGAAAAAATACATATAATTTAGGCCAGATTGTCAGAATTACAAATTTTGAAGTGGTTCTATCTTTATTAAACACGTATACCTTTCACATTTAACAGTGACAAATTAATTAGTTAAATATAGTATTATTAATAATAGTTGTATTTTATACACACATCGCACCATTCGACAAAAATTTCTCTCAATGTTGAATCTAAACAAAGACGTATTTTTCTTAATAGCGGAAAATTTGCAGGATGACATGGTATCACATTCATGTCTTTTAGTTGACAGAACTTAGTGTGAGGCAACTGTACCAATATTATGGAAAATTCCTGGACGAATTGTTTTAACCAAAAGAGCAGGGGATAGATTATTTGATGTAATACTTCAAAAGATTCAAGAGATATTTTGAAAAACAAGGGATCGAAATTTATATAGAAACTTATTCAACCAATTTTCATTTAATTATGTTAATTTCTGGAGACTACAATTTTTGGAAGAGGCGTTTTTCAGAATTTGAAAATTTTAAGAAAATCAACCAGATCTATTATCGCCATTTGGTTATTTTACCTTTCACGTGACAACATAAGTGTATTGTGTATTATAAAGATCGAGAGATGTTCTAAAAAAAAAAAATGAAAAAAATTATCATTGCATATTAATAAAAAGAATATTAATTGTTAGCGATGTATTATTATAATTATTAAAAAATATTAATAATAAAGATATTAATTATTAAAATAAAAACATTAATTTCTGAAGAGTATTTTAAAAACTTTGCATATTAATAAAAAAATATTACATTATTAATTATTACTTGATTATCGCAATGTATTATTTAAACAATTAATTTTTAAAACATATTATATTTTACGATTTTTGTTAAAGTTTAATTTTTGCGATATAATTATTATTACGTCTAACAAAATAAAATTTAAAAAAAATGTGTCAAGATAATGAATGTCGTCAGGATTTTGTAGTAAATCCGACTAAATCGCTTAAAGTATTTAAATCTTCTCGCTTCCTATCAGAAAAATCTTTGATTTCACTAATTGATGATCTATAAATGAAAGAAAATAAAATTTGGGAACATATATTAAAATGAGATCTTTAACACTTCTTTTATAGTTATTTATTAACGAAGGATAAATTAAATATATAATATCTCGTTAAAGAATTGATAAAATGTTTATCCATGTAAAATTAAATAGTACAGGCTATACCAATAATATTATTTGATATTATTGTGTCGCAAAATACACATTTCTATATCTTCTGTTTAACAAATTCCTTGAAACTTATAAACCACTTGGGAAAATTCAATTGCAAATATTACGTAGCATATTATTTTAATATAGTTGCCAAATAACTAAGCAGTAATAAGTGAAAAATTTATTGGTTTGATCAATAAATAATTTATTATGTCCCTTGCAAAACAAATCCCTTTTGGCATTACGGCGTCTCACAAAACCGGGCAATTTTTTGCCACCACCATAAAACCATTTCCCAAACTCCAAGGAAACACCTTTGGTGTCTCCAGACTTAAGCTTCCTACCAACGTGGATTTTGATAAGTACCACAGCCAAGGTTGAAGCTAAATGATCACAAGGCAGAGAACTGATCAGGATTTAGTTTAATCCGAGTGAGTGACTCAACGTATTTTTCAAATCTAGCTAAATACATGACAAATATGACCATAACCAATAGTTTTTTTGATTCCCTGGTGTCGTAGTAAATGATGTGATTCATATGGACCATGTCTTCTGCCGTCATTATATGGAATCCGAGCTAATTCCACGTTTGAAGTCCTACGCATCCAATTATCCAAAAACAGCCGTCTAAAAAGGAAGAAAACGAAACTTTATTAGTAAAAGTTTCGTTAAATTAAAATTTCCTGATTTCTGTATAAAAAAAACTTACGTCCAGGCTGTTTAAATTAGAGACACGCCTTTGCTAAATCTACTTTGCTTACAAACTTTCTTGAAGTACGAGGTATAATTTGAGTTTATAAATATTTTCGTTATTTATACAGATAATATTTTTGCATAACAAATTCTTTACCACCTAAAAAAAGAAAAAATAACAAACATTTAGTAATAATTCATTAGAATAAAATAAAAAAAAACAATAAATAAACCCTTACCAATTCCCGCGTATCCGGAAACCAAAAATCTACATCCTAATCGTTTAAATATATATATATATATAAAAAGAGAGTAAATCGAAACATTAGTAAACGTTTCGATAGAATAAATTTAAATAAAAATTTTTTCTGGATCCGTTACCAAAATTTACATGTCCAAGGTCTTAGTCATCTAAAAAAAAGAAAATAATGAAACGTTAGTAACGTTTCGTTAAAGATAATAAATTAATTAAAAAACTTCCTACTAAACTTTTCATGCGTCCAGACGTCTGTCTACAAAAGAAAATCAAAATCATCGAAACATTTTGTTAAACGGCCACCTACAAAATAAAAAAAATGAACTGTTAGTAAAGTTCATTAAAATAATAAAGTTTAGTTTTCAAAAAATATTTTCAAAAACTTACCCAATATCCCGTTGCTTTAAAATCAGAACTTGTCCTAAAAAAAGAGAAGAGTTGAAACTTAGTAAAACGTTTCATTAAATAATAATGAGAAAAAAAACCTTTCCTTACCGAAATTCGCGCGCCTAAAAAATAATAAAAACGAAATCGTTAATAAAAGTTTCGTTGTTATAAGTACGCGTCCAATCGCTAAGAAAATATATTTCCAGAATCCTCTACCGAAATTCTATGCACCAAAAGGACCTGGTCATCTAAAAAAAATTTTAAATTGAAACGTTAGTAAAACGTTTCGCTTATATTAAATTAAAAAAAATTCAGATTTTCTTACCGAAATTCTGCGTGTCCAAAGAGCCGGAAATAAGGATAGAAATATTAGTAAAGCGTTTTGTTAAAAGTAAATTTGAAAAGATCTAACTCCTACCGAAATCTAAGTCGGGCAAGAGAAGAGAACCGAGGGGAAGGGCGGAGAAGAATGAGGAAAGGAAGTGAGAGAAAGGGAATGAGCAAGGGAATAAGAGGGAAAGAGGAAAAAGGAAAAAGGGAAAGAAGGAATGGAAGGAAGTTTTAAAAAAAAAGTTTAAAAAAAAGTATTTACCGTACGATCTTTTTTAAACTTCTAATTGATTTGCAGCGGCTAAATATTTATTTATTTATTTATTTTATGTGAAGACGGACAGACTATTAACAGGACATAAACGTAACCGTGCTATCCTACTTCTAGCTATCATCCCCCCGAAGACGGACCGAACTTCTTTAAATCCAACGAGCCAGAATGATCCCCTCCCCTACCAGAAAGGAACCAATGAACCCAATGACATCAAGGACGAACAAAACTAAAAAGGGAGTTCAAATCTATCATCCGTATTTTTCTTTTAACTAAAACTAGCTATTGTATGTAAATACTGTCATATACAAAATAATATACGTTACATAGGTCCATAATTGTTTTACATATAGTAAAAAATAAAAGTAGAAACTAAATAAACTAATGAGGAAAAATATTCCAATTATTGGTCATGCCCAGGTGTGGGCGGAAGTATAATTCTTCGTTTTCTTGGTTTCCTGATGGGTCTTTCATCACCATCTTTGATCGATTTGAGAGGATCAGGTTCGGGCGTAGACGGATATTGATGTCCAGTAGGAGTAGTACGAGCAAAATGTGCTTTATGAGAATTCAAAGTAAGTTTATCTGAAAAAAAAGTAGCTTCAGGTTGAGTATTAGTATCAATGGTCTTGTCCTCAACTATTGGAGGTGGGGGTGAACGTAAACGATTTTGATATTTGCCATAACGTCTAACCGCTTTAAGGTAACCAAATTTATAATCAGGGATGCCGGATAAATTATAGCGTCGTCGCACTTTATACGCAGCGAGATTAATATTATGTGTATTAAAGTAATAGGATATGGCTTTCCCAGTAAAATTATCGGGTAAAGGAGGTAAAGGTTTCCTTTTCTTGTTTCGCATTTTGGTACGGCGTTTCCAATTTTTGGTCCTTTTGCGAATAATCTTATCGCTTTCAATTTCCAATTTGCTTTTTCTACTATATGGAGGAAAACGTTCAACTGCATGTTGAATTTTTTTGTACACATGTGAGTGTTCATTGATTAGGAAGGGTCTGACTTGACCCAAGGATCTTTCCGCTTTAAAGTTCGAAAATTTTAGGCGATTCCACCGCTTGATTTGTTGTTGTGTACGGTTAGCGTCAAGCTCAAAGTTATAATATTCTTTGTAGAACGTGCGCGTGGTGTTCACACCTTTCTTCGTTTTAGTAGATAGTGGTTCCATAACATTTTTAAGATAAAAATCTTGTTTTCCTCTCCATTCATTGTATCTTCGAGTGATAACGTTATATGAGATACCAAGTCGTGTTGAATGAACTTCTTTTGCGTGATTATGAGTCTGATATCGATTATGGGCAAGAAAACTAGGGTTTTGAGGTAAAATACCAGTTCGAAATCTCCCATGTATTATGAATTTAGGGAGATGTTTATTACAGTTTAGTCGATTGTGTGAAAGTACGACAGCAGCTGGTTGTTGACAACATTTATTATTTTCTGTAAATCCGCAGGCAAAGTAGTACCCCAGGTAAATCACGTGGGGCCCGGAAGAAAATCGAATAAAGGTCTTTGTTTGTCTATTTTTATTTGATATGGAAGAAGTTCTATTTTTAACTGCCAATATTTTGTCTAATAGCAGTTGGCGTAAATGATGAAAATATTTATCTACAATAGCAGGAGAGAATTGTTTGTTTAAAGTAAAGACAAAGGTCAGATATGTCCCTATAAGGTAATTCAGATTGAGCTTTTTGCAGTTTGAATTGAAGATCCTATGATGATCATCAGACAGTTGAATGTCATTGGTGCAGACGTTGAAAAAATTTTTCTTTCTAAGATCTACATGTGAGGAATTATCTAACTCGATAAGGAAATATCTTCCTTTTTTAGTGTTATACAGAGTGCCACTTCCACGTGTGTCTCTAACCTCGTATGGGTTTATTTTCTTTGTACTAAAAGAATATTCGAAAGTTGACGAAAACGGAGGTGATGATCCAGATCGATGAATTTCATAATTCTTGTTATAACCGGAACATTTTGGCGTAGTCACGTGAGAATTTTTCGGGAGACCAACAAAGTATTTTTGTTCTCAACCATGGGTAAAATTTCTAAGAGAGGCGCAGTATCCAATGGTATAGGATTAATGTTCTCGACTATGGGTAAATTATCTAAAAGAGGCGCAGTATCTAAAGGTGGTATAGGATTAATCTCCTGTATGGGAGTTAAAGGAGTGTTATCAATGAGAGGTTTGTCATCTCTAAGTACGCTGCCTTCTTCTATTTCAGCGTTTAAATGAGCCTGTAGTAGCTGTTGAAAGTAGTCTTCGTCATCATATATATATTCCGTTTCGTTGTCTTCAAAATGAAGAGTTGAGTGCGTATAAGGATAAATATCATCAATATCAAGAGAAAGGATATCCTTAGTGGAAAATATTACTGGCCGCTCGGTATTATATGATATATCATCTGAGTTATTTTCAGGTGGTGTAGGGTCACCGAGTTGAACATAAGAATGTTGTGGAGTAGAAGACCAGTCTAGTTCGATAAGAGGTGTAGAAGACATATTCCTTTATAACATAGGATATAAAGAGAACTAAGAACCTCGTATAAGTCCGAAGCGCCTGTTAAGGCCTCTCACCCTTTGGCGTTTCAAATAGAAACTAAAAAAAAACTAAACGTCGCAAAATTACTGCGGAAAACTAACCTGATTTGCAGCGGCTAAAGCTGCGGCAGCAGTCATCATTAATGAATTAATGTTGATCACATGATACACGTATTGTACATACAACACCTGTTTAACCTTATGTAGACCCATTAGTGCCTATAGCCATTGCTGCTCCCTTGGCCTATTTATAGTGACAAAAAGAGGAGTCTTCAGTAATAAGGCTTAGTTTAATTATAAAATCATTATTAATTGCAAAATTCATTGTTACAATATATTGCAAATAATTAATTGTAAGACTAATTGTATTTTAGATATAAAATATATTGTACAATGTATTAAGAAAATTTTGGGTTGTTAGCAAAATTTTTCCAAGAACAAGCCACTACCAATAATAGTAAAAAAATTGATGGGACACAATAGTAATAAGCACAATATGGGATGCATTTTGTTATTTGTATACAGCCAACTTCTGAACAAAATACTTAATCTTATGGCAATTCTTACTTTGTGTGTTTCTTTTTTTGGGATTGTCTTTACTCAAAAAAATTTTAAAATTCTGAGCATCAAACCATTTTTCAGTTTTTCCAAATCTATCAGCAAAATTAAGTTCTTTCTTTTGGATATTTTCACATTTTTAGCATTCTTCTTTTTGAAAATGACCAGACCTTTCTTCTCAAACATCTGGATCAGATTGCATTATGGATGACCATCTTGAGTGCAGAGAATTGATGTTACATACAGAGGAAAAGCTGGAAAAATGGGTCATTGGGAATTGCATGGAAGTGAACTCGTGAATGGTGACTGAACACCTAATTCTGATGGTGAGGTCTGATATCCAAATGAGAACTCACTCAATTCATGTGAGAACGAGAAATGTAGTACCTCCCTGTTGAAATTGCCAGCACTATTGCACTACTTTCCCTCTTGAATAATGAACACTTCAGATTTCATATAATTATGAATAAAAAAGATCTGTCAGATCTGTCAAACTTATTGAACAATGATAATAAGTATTTTTGGTATTATTGATCTTCATGCTGTATGTATTGAATAATCTGGATTTTCAATCTGGATATTGTATAATCATGGTCACATGTTTTGTTGGAATTATACAGGACATGACATGAAGTACATGGGATCTAGTTTGATTGAAGTTCTCACGAACCATTTTTCCAACCCATATAAGATATATGAGGTTATGGAGAACACTTGCAAGCTTATGACCAAGGAGGATCTTAAACATTGGATGGCTGTAAATTATTTTGTACTCTTTACTATTGATAAACATGTATGACTTTTGGGATTTAGTTATTTATTTAATATATTTATGTATCTTGAATTTAAATGTTTTACTTATTAGGTTCTCAGAAAACTGTTATTATTGTAAGTGAAATAATTTTTCAGAAGACATAATGAAAAAAAAAACAATTTCAATTTCATCTTAAATTTACTTTTTAATTACTTGAAATACTTCATAATCTTCTACTTCAAAATTTTTTGGAATTCCTATGCTTGGATAGACTTCTCCATAACCACGATCTTCATTGGACCAATTATTATTATAACAGTATATATCACCCATAGTTGGACCATAATAATTATTGCATAAAACAGCACGATCTTGTTTCTTAACATAACTTACTTCTGAAGTAGAAATATTTCCTCCATTGATAAAATTAAAAATAAAGCTATCTGCTGTAGCCACCCAACGAGGTTGTCTATCCCAATTAAGTGGATTATACCCTCCTATTAATTGTGTTGAATTTTTAATTTTTGCTATCCAAATAGTAGCTCCTTTATCGTTACAATTTTTATGAAAAGAATTAGTATCAACTCCATCTTGACTTGAGCGATATAATAACTTGAAATCATAGGGAATATTTTTTCTATTATAATGTGAAGTATCTTTTTTATCAATCCACGAAGCAAAAAGAGGAAGATGATTCGATTTAATTAAAGTTGAATTGAGTGGATATTTTAAATTTGGCTTTCTTGAAGGTGGTAAATTAACTTTTGATTTTATGTCAGGAACTATATGATATTCCAAAAGATCATGAATTAAATCTTGTGGTAAGATGTCTTTGTAACAATAAACTTTGTAAAAGAAATCAGTAGGTTCAATATCATAAAATCGAATTAAAGGAATAAATCCTGTCTCTTATACACATCTAGATGTGTATAAGAGACAGGCCAAGGTTGAAGCTAAATGATCACAAGGCAGAGAACTGATCAGGATTTAGTTTAATCCGAGTGAGTGACTCAACGTATTTTTCAAATCTAGCTAAATACATGACAAATATGACCATAACCAATAGTTTTTTTGATTCCCTGGTGTCGTAGTAAATGATGTGATTCATATGGACCATGTCTTCTGCCGTCATTATATGGAATCCGAGCTAATTCCACGTTTGAAGTCCTACGCATCCAATTATCCAAAAACAGCCGTCTAAAAAGGAAGAAAACGAAACTTTATTAGTAAAAGTTTCGTTAAATTAAAATTTCCTGATTTCTGTATAAAAAAAACTTACGTCCAGGCTGTTTAAATTAGAGACACGCCTTTGCTAAATCTACTTTGCTTACAAACTTTCTTGAAGTACGAGGTATAATTTGAGTTTNTTCAATATTTCCACAATAAATGAACCTAACAATATGATTAATAGTTAAATATTTTTTACAAATTTATATGATAAAATTTATTAAACAATAATATCTTACCTAAGAATGATATTAAATAATTGTGGTGAAATATTTGATTTTCTAAAAATAAATTTTCCGTCTCTTTTCTCAGCCCATTCGTTAGAAAATGCAGTACGAAAATATTGAGACCTAGCACATAAAATATTTGAATGAGCATGAATTTCTTTGACATTTTGATCATCTCCTGCATAAATAATAACATCATATCTTATTTCTGTTTCAAAAAGTTTTTCATAATCGTTGGATAATTCTGCCCAAAATTTTGAAATCATTTTTTTTGTTGTAAATGAGAAAAAGGAAAAAAAAAACAGCAAAAATTTGAGTTGCAGCCGACACCTTATTTATATTGTTTTACGTTGATTGTGTTTCCATAAATTTCTATAATTGGAAGCAATGATATTTTCTTCACGGCCAATTTACATTTTGGTCAAAAGCGAATAAATTTTTATTTGCTGTCGTCATATTAAAAATTAGTCGTATTAACGGTTTCCTTGACCTTCTAACTCTAGATGCTTGAAATTTTCTCCAAATAAAATATGTGTATATCGGTATTAACGTCAACATAATTTTTTTAAGCCACAATAATTAAATTTATTTTAAATTTATATTAAAAAATAATATTATTTTATTACTAACACTTACCTAAAATCAAATAGGATAATATACTGGATAATTATAAAAGAATTCAGTTAACAAAAAATATTATATAAAATATACAACAATAGAAATAATGATGCTATATATGATATTAATCAATTTTTAAATAAAAAATTTAGTTAATTAGTCTAAATTATATATTAATACTACATAAATATGCAATAATAAAATTTAATAAATAATTTTTAAATTATAATCTAAAATAAAATATCACCAAATAATTTTTAAAAGTTAGATAGTTTAAAAATATATAAATATATAACATATATGTAATATTAAAGTTTAAATTATATGTAAAAATTATATTGATATAAATAATAATAGAAATTATATGTATATGTAAATATTATATAAGTATGTAACTATTGATTAAGTATAAATATGTAATAATAAAATTTTTATTAAATAACAAGAAATTGAACTTATTAGCAGGGGAGCTGCCATTCGATTCATTCATTGTGTTATAAGATAATAAGAACCATCTAAAGAAGGAAACCAAATAGTAAAGCTTTATTCTCTAGTAAATTATTATTTAAAAAAAAATTATTATTAAAAAAAAAAATCTATATAACTAAAAAAATTTGTCTGACGTTTGGATTTATAGTCTCCGTATAAATAATTTGGAATTGTGTAACTTGAAATCCCATGCCATACAATTAAAACCCGTGACAAGCCTCCGCCTGATCTATTTATGGTCAAAAACTATTCGATCCGTGTGCATTCCAATCAACTAATCCAATTTCAGTTAATAAAATTTTCCTTTTTTTCAGAAATTTCCCTTTTTTTCAAACTGATTTCCTTTCTTTATTCTTTTTCTTCCCCCCAAATTATTTTATTATATTAAATATATTTACAAAATTATTATTTTTTTTAAAAAAATCAATATAACAAACATATCAGATATAGGAAAATTGACCAACACGAGTAAGATTTTTTCAATTAAATTAAACGCTGGATAAATAGTTTGATTTTCAAATTCATAAAAATCAATTAATTATAAAATATGTAAAAATGTCAATTTTTTTTTGAAGAAATTGTTGATTTAATAATAGATTATTATAACCAAATCCATATCCAAAATTGTCTAAATAACTATCAGATTTTTGAATAAAGATTTTAATTCAAATGGTTTAGTTAAATTAAGTACCAAAAGAATAATAATAAATGAAATGAATAGATTCTAATACATTTAATTATTCAAATATTTTTTTTAAGTTGGTTATAAGTTTAAGATTGACGTAATATAAAATAAGAAATAATTATAAAATTTATAATTAATTAAAAAAAAAATATTTGTAGTATTTTCATAATATTAAAGTTTTTCGAAAATATTTTTAAAAAATTAATCAAAAAAATGAGGGTGAATGAAAAAATAGGGAGATAAAAGGATAAAAGAAACGAAGGAGAGTGAGGGAGAAACGAAATGGAGCAAAGGGTGAGTGAAAGAAATAAAAGGAACGAAAAAGATCAAGTGGGAATGAAAAAAAATGAAAAAAATGGAGGGACAAAATGGAGCAAAGGGGAATAAAAAAAAATGAAAGGAACAAAGGGTAATGTAAAAAGAAGTGGAAATGGGAAAAAAATGAAAATGACAGAGGATAGTGTGAAGGAACAAAAAAGATGAAACGGGAATGGAATAAAAATGAAAGGAACGAAGGGTAGTGTAAAGGAATGAAAAGACGAAGAAACAAAAAGGAAATAAAAATAACAGAAAAAAAGAAGGAAGGGAAGAATAAAAAGAGCAAAAAAAATGAAGAAACAAAAAGAAAACAAAAAAATGGAGAAGGGACGGAAATGAGATAAACAGTAAAAACCAAACCCATAAAATTAAAAGAAGAAATAAAGTTAGTAGGAAACGGAAATTACATGTAATAAATAAACAAAAACAAAAAAATAAAAAACATACCTTAGTAGTTATAAAGAAGAATCGAAAGACCTAAAAAGAATGAATTCAAAATGTAAAATGATCAGCACATTAATTTAGCCAATAAAATTTAATGTGAAAAATTATTAAATCACCCAGGGTGAAAATACACTCAAACGTCAAATCATTAATATAAACTATATTATTCTAAATATAATTTATATCATTCTAATATTATAAATATAATTTAATACATGTTATTTATTATTTTTTGTTAACTAATTATTACCATATTAAATTCCTAATTATAAACAAAAAACTACTGTAACCATCTTTAATTTACTTAGTATTGCATTACATTATAATACTAAATTTTTCTATTTAATAAACAAACTCATTTGTCCCGGTGCATGACTGCTAGTAATAAACTAATACTAAATTGTACTATAATCTAGATTTTTTGAAGATATAATAATATTATTAAGATTAATCACTTTTTTAAGAACGATAAATCAGCTGTAAAATAGTGATATAGTGATCTGCAAATTCGTATACATCATAAAAAAAAAAAATTATTATTACGATAAATCAGCTATAAATAGTGATATAGTGATCTGTTAAAAAAATAATAATAATAAACTAATGCTAAATTGTACTATAATCTAAATTTTTGAAGATATAATAATATTTATTTTTAATTTTAATAAATATTTAAAAGTTACTGTAAATTTTATTAGTAAAATATTTTTAGTGGAGTAAAATTATTATTAAAAAAAAAATCAAAAATTTATTAATTAAGAAAACATTCATTTTGAAAATTTTGAAAGTATTTTTCCTTTTT